ACGACCTTCAATTTTTAGGGTAAGGATTTTAGAAAAAAGTATCGTCTTATAGTCGGAAAAATATGGTAGTTTACTATAAAATGGAGAGTGTATTTTTACCCATCTATCCTGCCACTAGTGGAGCACTATGAACATTCAAGGCTGCATTAACAGAAGACTAGATTCTGTGATTCCCAGTTCCTACAACGCTTGGCTAGAAAAGTTCTACTCCACCTATCCCAGATTTAAGGAGGCAGCTCTCCCTAGCGTACAGCATAGTAGGTGAGCAGAGTGCAAAGAAACTCAGTTATATTTTATTTTATTCTATTTCTACAAAGAACATTGGATTAAGTTGTTATCTGAAGACATGTTCTTTGGTATATCTATATGCTTAGCCATAGAAGTGGGAACATTTGAGGGATTACATGCTGCAACTCTCTTTTTGAGGGCTGCAGAAAGCCATCTGGAGATATTTTGGGGAACATTTTTAAATGCTTTGGGGGACTAAGAATGGGAGTAAGAGGTCTTTGGGACACCTGCTGCTTCCATCCCTACCTGTACCTCCATAATCTTCCTAAAAAGTCTCTATTTGGGAGTGCATTTTTTGGAGGTGTGGTGGTTTCAGAGTAGGGGTGAGAGTGGTTTGCCTCTCAAAATATTTTGTCCCTGTTCTCATTCTTAAATTCCTGAACCCATCCCCCAAGGACAAAATTGCCATAAAAACAATGATTTCAGGTTGTTTTGGGGTGGAGGAGTGTTGTTAGAGCAAGTAGCAGCGGGCAGCATCTAGGAGGCAAACTAGCCCCATCTCCATGCTTATTTCTGAATGAGCCTCTACCTATGGAGCCACCAAAATGTTGGCCAATTGGCCATCAAAATTTGGCCCAATCTTGAGGGGCCACAATACAGCCTGTGGGTGTCGGCACTCTAGCCTTGCTCTTCAGCCAAGCCATGCCTAGAAATTAATATACAATCCAAAGGGGGGAAAAAAGGACAGTCACTACATGCAGGCATGCAACCGAAAACGCGTAACACAGAAGAAAATAAATGAGGAATGAAGAGGGAAAAAACAAGCTCAGCTACTAATTCTTAAAGGTAAATAGGTTTTCTTTAACCACCATGAGGTATATAATATAGGTGCACCTTACCTGGAGCACATGTAACTGAATCTTTAATCTGCTTGGCTTTCATTGTAACCTGTTTAGGAAGGAGGAGAAATGATTTGATTTTCAATACATGGTTTTGGTAGGAGAGCTTAGAAAATGTTTGGAAAAATGGATCAACATAATCTAGTTGAATTTGAAAACTATCAATAAGTATGGGCATCCATGGGGAGGACGACAAATGACAAAATGTGTGTCATGACACCAACTGTTCCTTTTGTACTTGCCCTGTGATACTATGGTTGTCGTGGACACCCCTGTCAATAAGTTCTCTAAAAGTATTAATTGTGCCAGAACACCTCCATCCCACTCTTTGCAATGTGAAACCTGCTCACTAAAAGCACACCATGGAGTGAATGTTACCTTACCTTAAGACAAAAAAGGTTATTTGTCAACAAGTGGTAATTAAACTATGGTAATGGTATGTGGGAATGACCTTGGCAGACAGGAGGAAGAGCCTCAGACAATGGTCAGATAAGAGGTAAAGAAGGCCGAGCGCCGAAGAATTGATACCTTTGAACTGTGGTGCTGGAGAAGACTCTTGAGAG